GACAGCACGCGGGCCGGAGCGGAGCGGCGCCCGCCGAACCATTGACGCAAACGCGCAGGTCCGTATATTCTGCCTGGCTCAGGTTTTGCAACGTGCAGCCGATATTTATACCGTTCTCCTGAATATAGTCAGCACACTGCGCCGCGTGGTCCAGCCCCTCGTACCTAGTGGTGTTTTAGGAAAACAGAAAGAAAAAAAATAACCAAAGCAATGGCAGTTAGGCTAAGGCCTTTTTTTAGGATTGGACGTAAGCCTTGAGTATTGCCTCTATGCTACCCACCCTTTGCCTTTTGCAGGTGATCCAAAGCACAGCATTACGCATCAGTCACCTGGACTCCTGCTATGGGAAAAGTGTGGGGAGGAGAAAAAGTCAAATTAACACGCACAGATGGTTTCCCAGGTTGGTTTGTGGGCTGCGTCAGCCTCTCCCCAAGCCCATTCCTGGAGCAAAGAGGCCTCACAAGGTGCTGCTGTGTGATTGGAGCTGGGGCATGATCTGGGCCCTTCTCACAGAGACACCCATCCTCCCACGGGGCACTTGGCACCATCAGCCACCAACTGTGAGGCTGCAGAAAGGTCCCCTCCCAAGCCAAAATGCCGCAATCTGTGACATGTGCCATGAATGTGAAGAGTGTTAACGAGCTGCCATGGGTGATGGAGGTAGGTCTCCTGCATCTACATGGAAAACCAGGGTGGGTAGGAGTGAGGAAGGGGTTTGCTGCTCATTAGCTAATGTGCAACCACAACCCTGTCCTCTCAAGCTGCCTCCTGTCTTTGGGGGTCTGCTCCCCAGAGCTTAGCTGCTGACCCCCTCCTGGAAATGAAGTGGTGTTCCGTACTGCCTGTTAACCCTCCTGCTGGGTCCGTGCCATTGAGCCAGGCCTGAGTCCAGGCTCTGTACTCCGCACCTAACAAAAGTCTCCCTGCACAGCACATAACATCTGGGGGAAAATCTGCATGTGGTGGGGCTATAAACATTAACTCACACGATCAAAGGATGCCATGGCTGTGTTCCCACCCACTTCTGTTGTACAATGGGACTCAGATCCAAATGCCTGGTTTTGTTACAGGCAGTTAAATAAAGGTGGTGGGGTTTTTTGTGGGTTTTGGTTTTTTTAGGAAGAAATTATGAATTTCCATGGTTTCCTTCAAGCAGACCTTTGTAGTTAGCAAAGTGGTTTTGAATTGGTGATTCTCTTTTGAAGACTATTTCCAAGAGTGACATGGATACTATTTTTAAAAAGCAGCTATGGTTTTCTACATGAAGTGCAAAGGCACGAAACCCAGTGATTTCATAACTAGTCATCCTTACCATAGTACCACAGGGATTGAAGCACAAATACAACATTTACTTTGTCCAAAAACAGTAAGTCTAACTATTTTTCTTGCAGAGCAGCATCATTAAGCAGCAGTATAACAGAAACAACTGAGAAACATGCATTATTACTACCTTCTGGCAGCATGTTTGCTCGTATGAGATGTGCTATGGCTATGAAAATATATTTGAAGAATAAAACTGCTAGTTGCCAAGAAGCCCTGCTCTTTGTATAACTTTCACTGAGTGTGTATCCTGCCCTGTAGAGATACATGCACTGTGATCAAGTGAAATGCGCAGCCAGAACGATCCAGGTACGTTCAGCAAAGGGAAGGCACAAGGCTTTGTGATGGACCACATGCAGAAAGCACTCCGCAGGTGTGAATAAAAGGGAGAAGAGGAAGGGAGTAAGCAGTCCCTGCAGAAGGTCAGCCCAAGCCTGCTTTTAAGGAAGGAAGCAGGGATTTGGTAGTTCCTTACCAGAAGGTACATGCTGGTTGGAGCATGATTTCTGCTCATTCTGTGTGGATCATGCAATAGCACTGCCAGATAAAAAAGCATGTTTGCTGTGGCATTTTAGTACCCTGAGAGGTTCACTTGATTGCTGCCTGGATGTTCTTCTATTTTGCTGATACATACCAATAATATAGTCCATAATGAACGCCACGAGGAGCGAGGAGACCTGGTTGCCAAGTGCACTTGAGATATTCCCAGTCATGATAAATGCAGTGGAAATTCTGAACCTTTGATTCTAGTTTTCCTGTAAAAGGAGAAGGCAGTAACCACTATTTAGCAACTTAACAGTCAGGCCCAGCAGAATTATCATTTTATGTCTTTGAACAATTGCATGCTGCAGTTGAAAGACAAGAAAGGAAAAGAAAAGAAGGTCCGTCACCGTTATTAGATAGTTGTGCTGCCAAGTGCTCTGTTTCCTATAAAAGCCAGTTCACTGTACTTAGAGCCAAAAGGTGTGTGACTGACCTTTTCATGCAGCAGCGGAGCTCGTGCAGGGCAACCCAGCAGAGCCAGGGTATGGGCAGAGGGAAATGAGCCCCAAGTATCCAGTAACCACAACCACAGCCAGTGGAAGCAGAGATGCTCGGGCATCTTATACCTCAACAAACCCTGTAATGGCTTATCCATCCAGCAACCCTCAGGCCAGCAGTGTTTCATGCAACAGGCTCATGCAAAGTGCAAAACTGCACCAGGTCCCGAAGGCTGCTCCTAACCTTGCAGTGGGACCTGAAAGGTAGCATAAATCCAGTCACTTTGCACCTCCACATCTCCGGTACACCGTCCTTCAAGCAGCGTCTGCACCTTCACTTCAGCAGTCCTGCTGAGGTCAAATCCAACTCTGAATTTTAGCTTCCTAGTGAAAATAACCTGATTGAAAGACAGACTGCATAAGCACCTCTTTGGTCACTGCGGATTGCAGAATTAGCTACCATCACTCTCATCCTAGCTGCAAGTAGGCTCATTTTTGTGCTTTACATTTCAGTCCCGCCTTTCTGCTTCTCCAGCAGTCTTGTGCCGCCTGCTCTGCCCAACCTCTCCGGCTTCGAGTCCCTCCACCCCGCAGGACACCAGCAATGACAAGACAGAGCAGACTCTGGTTCAAGGGATCCCCACCAGCCACTGGGGAGGGTCTGACCAGGATGCCACTGTGAATCCAGACAAAAGGCACTTGTTCGTGACATGAGTTAATCAGAAACAGAAGGAACAAGTCTTCTAACTAATGCTTCCCACGGGAAGCACAGCCGCACCCTGCGAGGACGGAGCAGCGGCCAGGCAGCACAGCCCAGGCTCACCACTGCATGTCACTGGGATTTAGCCCTTTGTGGGAGTTTTTGAGCACCCTCTCGGAAGGTTTTTCCTTTTTTTTTTTTTTTCCCTCCTCAGACCTACTCCCCCTTTACGCAAGGGAAAAACAAGCTGGGAAGAGTTATAAGAAATGCTGAGCAAGAGGTGGTGTTAGCCCAAGCAGGACAGAGCAATGTGCTGTCAAATGCACGTGTGTGCTGGAGCGGGGACTGCGGCGGCACAGCTCACAGACAGGCTTTATGTCAGCGGTCCCAGAGCCGTGCTGAGCCATGTGTTTCTAACACACCCTGATGACTCCTGCTTCCGCTGATAGCCACGGATTCTTTTCAGACTGACTCTTAGTGACCCGATCTGGGGTCAAGGTTTTTGGCAGGGTACCAGAGGTGATTTGTTTTTTTCTGCTTTTTAGATTTGCGTCATATAAGATGCTTTTATTACTTCTGATTTAGGGAATTCTCACATGGTTTTTAAAACTGCCTTTTTATTTTTTCCTTTGTGCTTTTTAAATGCCTGTTAAAACGATCCTAGAACAATCTGCATGGCTGCGTGGTGCTGCACGGCTGGGAGCGCGACGTGCATCCTGACCCACGTGAGGTCAAAGAGCCCTTTTCCATGCCCTTGAGACTGCAACCCATAGCTGAAACAGAATGGGGGCACCATGCTCTCCCCCCCTCTGCAGTCTCCGGTGGGATGGCTGGGCCACAGCCCGTTTGTGTGGAGGCTGAGCACAGCTCGGCAGCCTGGGCTTTGCTGTCTCAGGCAGCTGAAGCGGATGACCGGCTCGTGCAGGACACGTGGGAACGCTTCACAGCAAGGGTTGGGGTGCAGAGCACTGCTAGCCCGATGTGACTGCTCCTTCCCTCTCTCCCTGGTCTCTTGAGCTGGCAAGCTCTCCAGTACTCCTGCAACAGGACTGTGCAAATTATCTTCCTTTCTTTCAGGACACCAGTCTGTATTTTGGGTCACTGGGGGACATCCTCAGCTTATTTTTCATGTGTTCCTCAGTACCTTGTGCCAACCAAACAGCCTACTGCTGGGTTTCTTCTCTCCCCAATCCATTTACCTTCCCAACCTGGCAGCAGCTTTTGTCTTCTAAGCACTACCAAAACACAGTCCTACCACCCTCCTGTACTGTGCCTGTCTGCTATTGCCCTGCTACACATGAGTGAGAGAAGGCTAAAAATTTTATCATGGAGACGAGTTAGAGTCAACCATATCTAAAAGACAAAAGGAATTGGTAATTAGAAACACTCTTCTGGAAAAAGGGAATGTTAGAGCAGTAGGATAATTAATGACATTGAATCTTTTATGTACTCACCACCTTGTATCCTTAAGGATCTGCTGACACTGAGTTTCAGTTCAAGCCCCATAAAGACTTTTTAGAAAAGTGCGGTGCCTTTTGCAATGAGGAATGCTACTAGATTTTATTGGATTATTTTTGGCAGCAAGCACCACACCCTCTGACAGAAATAGCCCCTTCCCTGACTGCTGCTGCTGTGAAATTTCAAAACACATTGCCATCTGGCAAAAGATTCAAACCACTGGAACAGTCTGGCTTTTTCATGGAAAGCTGGAAAGGCTTTGCTACCATTCCTTCTTGAAGCGCAAACATAAACCTATGCAGGAGCTCGAGGCGGAACAATAGCCTGGATTTCAGTGGATTAAACTGTGCTTTGTCCTACCTTCCAGTCTCTGTCCCCAGCGTTGCGGTACTCAAGCTTGTATTTCACCGTGCATTCGTCGGAGGTTTGTACCTGGGGTGGAGGTTTCCACTCTATGTCGAGAGCACCTAGGAGTCCAGGGTCAGAGACCTGAAGGTCTTGTGGGGGAGCAACTACATTGAAAACAAAGCAGGGGGTAAACCAGGGTGTTGATACAGATAAAACAAACAAAGCTGTGAAATTTGATGAGATGAGAAGTGGATGTGGAAGGCAGCACTGCGGGTCTCGGTCCAACATTCCATAGTCTGTTCTCCACAACCATGCGCAAGGTCTACTCCTGCCCACCCCACAAACACCAGTTTTTGCTGATGCTGGACTCCACAACCATGCGCAAGGTCTACTGCCCACCCCCCAAAAACCGGTTTTTGCTGATGCTGGGAGAAAACACGCAAGGACCATTGAAAAGGCACAAAGAATGCCACGTCTTTGACACTTTTTCTCAAGATGTTTTAAGCAAAACTACTGTCCTGGGATGACCTTTCAAGGCCTGTATTTGCTTACTTTTAACTCATGATATTTACCGACTGTCAGGAAAAATATCCTTGCAAGCATAGTGTTCAGCACAAACACCAACACCGGGTGACAGATCACAGCATGCTGTCAGGGAAATTTATATTCCTTAACCAGAGCAGACACAAATCACCCATATTGCTTTAAATATTCCTTTCAAGTATATTAAAGATTAATGAAAAAAAAAACCCAAGACAAAAAAAAAAACATACAGAAGCTGAAAAGCAGAGAGTTAAAAGCATTCTTATTTTGGACATCTATCAACTGTATAAAAATGTGCTTTTACAGTCAATCTGGCTTTTATTAAGCTATTGTAAGGTCCTGCCATTTGTTAATAAATCAGCATATATTATGGATTGAGTCCATCCTAAGACGTGCTTCCTAAAAGCCCAGCTCTGTATGGAGCTGTCATTCACGTGGCAAAACTTGTTTGGCGATTCAGTTTTATTAGTTCAAACAAAGTCAATTTGTGTAACATCTAAGGTAATTTTTCTCCACTGTCTAGAGGCGAGGTTACCCATTTGGGTTTGACATATTCACTGCACGATACACCTTTTTCATGGTGATTTGGAGCCCATCCCCTGGCAGTGTCAGTCCAGCATTGCCACCGCTGCTCTGTTCGAGTCTGGCCTCCAGGTCACTGGCTTCCCTGCCACCTTTCTCACGTCTTCATCAGGATTTACACCATCTTTTTCCTTTTTTTTTTTTTAATAAATCTGTCATGAAAGCAGACCCTGAAAATATCTTTCAATGGAAGGTGGGGATATAAATCCAACTTTAATGTGCTCCTGGGAAAGTTCGCAGAGAACATCATTGGAGGATTTATTTCTTCTAAGGAAATTCCCCAAATGAAAAACACTGCAGGCGGCTGTCTTAAGATCCCACTTTTCCCAGCATGTTAAGCTCCATGGGAGATTTCTTGTTATGCTAGATGGCAAAGTAGGATATCACAGCAATGTATTCAGGAACGCGCTGGGGCAAGGAACAGTAGACTAATTTGGAGAAAAATCAGATTTTGTATATTTTTCTGTGTAACAAATAAAACACTCTCCCTCCCACCAGCTGTGAGGCCCATGAATGCAGCCTGGGTGGTGGTGGGCTTGCTCCAGCAGCCGCGGGGCATGGCCCTGCACGTTCAATATCCTGTATTCAGCTGCCCCGTGTTCCCGCAGGAGGTGAGGGTCCGATGTCGCTACCCTACAGACTTCCCATCACCGGCAGAGGAGAGGGAATAGGGGCATGGGCAGCTCTGCTTGGGCAAAGAGTGCTGAAGGTGGGGTCTCAGTGAGCACCAGAGGCGAGAGCGAGGGAGAGGGGTGGGCATCTCACCCACCTCCTTGGTCTTCGCAAACATGCAAAGGCTCCGGGAAAGGGGGAAGCAGCGCGGTGGACGGCAAGTCTGCGGGAACAGCACGTGAAGGGCTGCCGCTGCTAAAAAAATGAATGAGTGGCTCGTCCAGAATGGCCCCCTCTAGCCATGCCATGGAGGGAAGGGGGAGAAGGTGAAGGGATGTGGCTCCGGCACAGGCTGAGCACCCTCCAGGGCCGGCACAAGGGAGAGTTTCCACATCGCCAGTACACCATGTCCTGGACGCGAACCCTTTATGGTGCCTGGCACGTTTCCCTAACAGGCTGGCTGAGGAGGTCTGCTGGCAGGCTGCGAGCTGGCCTCTCCTGTGCTCGGGAAGCTCCTCCTGTGTGGATAAATGCTGGGCCTTGCAGCTATGCAAGCTAGGAAACAAAGAGCTACTAGCCTTTGTCATGAGCCTGGGGATAAGCTGTCAAGAGAGGATCAGATTGGTCAAAAATGAAATTTCTGACTGGGTATGATAACACTCTCTGAAATTTGTTCCAATCCTGAGCTTGAATAAAACAGTACTATTTTTGTAAAACAATTGCAACTGTAAACAGCAGTTCTTGCAAAATAAAATTTTTACTGGATTTCAGAGGGAATGGAAAAGCTGCTTTTTGGGATCTGGCTTGTGTTGTAGGATTTGTTTTTCAAATGTCAGCACTTCCTCTTGCAGTTTCTCATTTTCACAATACTACATGACAAACCGGACTCACTCACATCATTCATACAGAACACAGGACTGGAAATAGGCTATTTCAGCATCCGGTCTTGAAGGAAAACTGCTTCTGAAGGTTTCTTGGAAAAAACCAAGCCCGACAACTTCCCTAGCTGGTTTGCGTGGTGGAGAGTCACGTGCTGGCTGGATGGCCACAGCCCCCTCGGCCACCCGTGCACACACCCCCCAACATCGCAGCCGCGATGACAAACCGCTGCTTGTCCCCAGCTGCCTCCCCCAGCGCCGCGCGGTGCATTAGGTGGTGCGAGCAGCAGGGGGTTTTGCAATTTTCCACCTATTTTTACAGTAGAGAAGTGGCAGCCTGTCAGGCGCCCCCCGTACCGTCTACATCTGCACTTCTCCGTGCGGGTCAGAGAGGTGCTGGTGACTTTTCGTATTTGGGGAGCCCGTTTTCAGGGCAATGCTGCTTTGCTTGACGTGGCAGCTTTCCGTGTGTGCTGGTGGCAGGACAGAGAGACTCTCGGTGCTCTCTGGGCCACGTTTGCACCTCTCCACTGTGAACCAGCTGCCCCAGGGAGGGCCAGACCTGCTCACCATCTCTCTGAGGAGGGAAAGCTTTTGGGTGCAAAATCCCAGCTGCCAGAGGCCAAAAGGGCTGGAGCTGGCGGTGCGATGCAGCAAAGAGATGCTCGAGGGCTTGAAGTGCCATTGCCGTGGATGATTGCTTGCTGAGCAATAGTGTTTTAGAAGAAATTATTATTCCCCAATTATGAATAAGCCTTGTGTTTCCTACAACTGGCACATCCAGTCTGGGAATACGCTCAGGAGCATTTATGTACCCAAGTAGTATTTATATTTGATAACTCTGCATCAAGCAATATATTCACTGTGCACCAAAGGCGGTTTCTGCTCCTTTTGAAGTTATTCAGAAAAATACCCACTAAACACCCAATATATTTACACAATTGATGACAGGTTTATAAATTAGCCACTCGCTGCCATCTCACACACACAAGAAAAGCTCTGGCTGAAGGACTACCTTGATAAAGGGCCCGAGTTAACGTGCAACACGCGTCAGGCAGCGACGCGAATGGCGTGCCGGGCTTTACCTGCGGAGTGGTGGGAGGAGGAGGAGGAGGGAGACACGCAGCCCCACACCAGTGCCACGGAGAGAGCGTAAAGCTGCCGGAGAGCCATTCAGAGGTGGGACGTCAGGGGTTCCCGCTGGAAGGTGTGCGGTGTCCAACAAGCCGTCCTGCAGCAGGCGTGCAGGGGTCTGGGGAAATAAAGCGGAGTCGGAAGGCGTCACTGCATCGGTGGGGCCCTGGCATTGCCTCAGCAGGGTGAGCACTGACAACAAGCCCTTTTTACTCGTTTACCAAGTCTGATTAATCATTTCCCAGAGGACTTCTATTTGTAACTTTCGGGTATTGGCAACACGTGGATGACTTTGGCTTCATTTGAAAAAGTTTCTGTCCAGCTAAGCACATTCTCTGCAGGCACGTCAGCTGGTACTTCAGTCACCGAGCCGTCTGCCGTGCGTCTTCCGTGGAAAGGGTGACGCAGCCGAGCGACTGGCCTGCCTGCCGTAGGAAGCACCTTGGACATATGACATTTTCATTAACCAAAAAAAAAAAAAAATCAAAACAGAATGCCTGAGCCTTGACTGATCCAATAAACAGACACGTCTTACGCAACTGCCACCAGTGCGTTTGGCTTTCCTGTTTCAGGATTTGGTGACTAAAGACGAAAAAAAAAAAATGCAGAGAGAGAATTTCCTTTCTAATTCACCCTCCGACAGGAAAGAAATGGCAGGCATGCTTGTGAGAAGTCAACTTAGTTGTAATTTTTGAAGGGGGCAGTTTCTCTTCCTGAGTCGTTTTGCTGGAGGGAAGATGGGGACTGAGAGAGGAGCAGCATTTCCAGGGTGGGGGGGAAGGGGGCTCTCCTTCCTTCAGATTTCATACTGAAGGAGGGTAGGAATCGCTGTGTATGGACATACCAGCCCAGCCTGCTTCCCTATGCCAGAAAGCACATGGATTGCAGGTAAAAAGAGCATTTTTTTTCCTTTACCTTCTACGCACAGACACATGTATGGGTATAGATCAGCAATATCATGTAGATTAGATGCAGATATCAATGTTTCTGAAAGCTTGAGGCCATTGCTTGGGGTGTCCTTGTGTGAGAACATGGCAACACCTCCGTGCCCACACAATGCATCACTGAGTTCCTTTCAGATTGCAAACTCACTTTACACGTCCACGCAGCCTCGGCTGGAAAAGGTGGGCTCCCAGGTCATACGCTGCCATAGCTGCAAACTCCTCTGCGTCCGCAGCAACGATACAACAGTACCACATTGGGGGTTTGCTGAATGGCAGAGCATCAAGTCAGAGGGACCTTGGGAATATGAGGGTCAGGGCCAGCAAAAACCCCATCATTTGAAGAAGAAATGGCTCAGGGGAATCGGAGGAGACAGGTTGTGCTGGGTGGCGGGGGGAGGGGGATGAGTTTAAAATAACCAGAAATTCTAACTGGCAGCACATGGGAGCAATTAAAAATACACAACAACTTCAACAGCTAATTTTCAATTTAAATTAATATCAAATCTCCCCCAAGTCCGTCACATAAGTATAGGCAATCCCAGTAATTTTTCTGTTTCACTGAGAGGTGAGAACGTACAGAGAAGTTCCAGTCAGAAGAAATGACCAGAATTACTTCCTAACATATCGAATATGACACACAACTTGTGTCAGTACAAACCTGGCTGGATGCATAAATCTCTGCCTTGGAAAGGTCTCATAATTCAGTACAAGGATGCAATGATAAGGAGAGCCGGCTCACAGAGCTGGGAAAAGCAGCAGCTATAACTCACAGCTGGAGAGTAGCAGCATCCAAGGACTGCACATGAATGTTAGGGAAGGAAGCTTTTTCCATTTCCAGTGTAGTTAATTTTAACATATTCACATGGTTTCATAATGTGAGCAAAAATAAGCAAAGGCTTACACACAAATATTTAAAATCAGCAACGTGGTCTTACCTGGACCTCTAAGAGCAAGGAGCCCATCTGCCTCTGGCGTGCCGAGCTCCGCAGCAGCCTCATGGCTGCTGTGCTCAAAACTTCACATTTCATAGACATTTGGAGTCTTTTTTAAGAGGCCAGTCTGTTCTCTTCAGGGAGCAGATGCCACATTGCAATGTTTTGGCACTTACCACACAACCAGAGGCTTTACTAAGCTAGCAGCAGAGAGGACATTGCTGGGATTTATGAGGTGTTAGCATTAATTGTTGCTATAACTGTGCTCAAGTAGGTCAAAGAAATGTTTAAATGATTCATTACAATGAAAACCAAACGGCATAACCGGTGCCAGCTGTCTGGCAGAGGCTGCCCCAGCCCCTGCGGCGGCATGTCCTCAGCCCCTGGGAGCCACGGCCCCACATAGCACCTCGGCCCACGCCGCTCCAGCCAAGGGTCCCCCAGAGCCAGTCATGGTTTGACCCACTGCCGCATCCTCCCCCCGAGCTTGCTGGCTCCGCTGGCCCTGGAGCCCATCCAGCTGTTCCTGTCTCTCAGGGGTCTATGGGAAATACATGGAATTATCCACCCCCTCGCTCCTGTCCTGTGGGCTGGGCATGTCAGCACAGCTGGGCAACATGACCCGTGTATAGCTTTACCCGTCACCATCTACTTCATCCCTCCTTCCTTGCATCACCCCACGAGCTCACCCTCACCCCCAGCCTGGAGCTGGTGCCGGGAGCGGGTGCTCCAACCACTCCTGCTTTGCCCCAGGCGAGAGCTCCAGCAGCGAATACACCCTGCTGGAAAAACAGCTCCCGATCCCTGCTGCTGGGCTGAAGGATCAGGGTCATGACCAGAGCCTTGCGTGAGTCAGGGGAAGCTGGTTGCAGCAATTTCCCTCCAGAGATGAAGGGAAGAGCAGAGCTTTGGTGCACGTGCCCCGACAAGCGATGGGCTGTGGCTAAGGCAGCATCTTCCCATGGTGAAACTTAAGCATATTGAGAAACAGTTCAGACATACTACGAACATGAGAAAGAGCATCGGGAACTAAAGGCGCACTTCTCGTTAGGAAGAAAACTGCCCTCCAAGCACCTGTGCAAGACTTATGGTATCACTGTTTGAACTGATGCCCAAATGAACGCGATATTTCTTCCTAGCTAGTGTCAATGGAAATGTTTCGGAGCAGCAAAGGCAGGATCAGGCCCCTTTCCACCTACCAGTCTTCCTCTCCGTTTCACGGCGCTCAGGCAGGCAGTGCTGCCAGCCGGCTGCACTGGCCACCATCACATCATTCCTCTTTGGTCCTGGCTCCAGTAAGATGCTGTGACGGACGGTGCCCTTGCAAAGACCGTGACCACCCTCCTTCGCACTTTTGAACTTTTTCAAGTTTCAAGGCAGTTGCAAGCAAAATTTCAGAACCTTTTTTACCTTGCTAAGAATAAAAAGTGATCACGTACCTCTGGTTACAGCAACTACCTCCCAGAACAGACACCAACTGCTGTGTGCAGGGTCAGAGCCCAGCTTTGAAAACAGAGATGAGAGCGAGGAAGCGCACTCAGACAATGAAGATGAGTTGGTCCTGATGTGGAACCAGGAAGCCCGTGACACACCATTGTCCTGCTCTACAGTGGCATTTGGTTGGGAAACAGCCCCAGAAGCCCACAGTGGCTTTGCCCATCGTTGGAGACCACTAAACAGGTGACAAGCCTCTTGCTTTTCATCTTTCCAAAGCAAAAAGGAACAGAAATGGATAGTACAAAGCCCATTGCCCTGTGAATTTGGGGGTGAGGGGCTTATGGGTGAGTTCTCCCTTCACTGCAATTGCACAGTGCTGAGCCTTTCCTTCTTGCTTTCTGCAAAGGATGGGGAAAAAAGTCCCTTGCTGCTGGTAAATGTATGGCCCTGCTTTCAGAATTATGCAAGATTAGGATTTAACGTTCATGTATTTTCATTGTGTAAGCTACTTAAGCAGAAAAGGTCACAGTGGACAGATCATTTGAAACAGATGAGAAACATTTGCTAGTAGGGTTCATGCCAGTTCGTGAGTGCTAAAACTGTGTCAGTTCCTGAGAAAATTAGATTGGAAAAAAGCATAGCTGGGATTTGCAACAGTAGGGCTCTACAACGCAGTCGGCGATGCTGGAGCCCCCGGGGAGGAGCAGCGAGCACAGCTCCATGCAGAGAAGCCTGTCCAGCCTCCTCCCGCCACCCTCTGGCCCAAACCAGCTCCCTTTGCAAAATACAGGCTCTTTTCTTTCCCTCTCCTTGTGCTGGTACCTGATGCTCGTGCCGTGTCTCCCCCGCTGCCAGTGTTGAGGCAGTCCCCACGATGGTTCTGGAGGAGATCAGCGAGGGAGGATCCATGCCCCGTTCCAGCCATGCTGAGGGGAGGCACCGCCTGTGAGTGGGGGAGCAAGTAGTGGCCAGGGCACATCTCTGCAAAGGCCATGGTGCTCCGAGCTTGGCTTCCACTGACCTTGCCACAGCTGTCAGCAACGCCGTCGCAAGCTCTGGGAAACACCCAGCAAATCCCTGCTGGAGCGACCAGGTGGGCGATTCGCATCCTACTAACTATTCTACAAACGGAGCTTAACGGCAAAAAAACCTCCTATGTAAAGTGATGACAAGCTTGTGGAAAAAGGGGGTGATAAAAACCTACCTGCTTTGGCTCACCAGCAAACCCTGAACACAACTGGGGAGGTGCCCAGGCAAACCCTCGTGCACCGAGCCGTCCCCGAGCGCCGTGGCTGGCACAGCTGCTGGCTGGGCTCAGCCGGCTGCGGAAAGGTGAGCCCTGTGCCCACCTTTCCTCAGACCCCCATGGTATCGGCAGCAAGACACCCCTGTGCCCAACAACAGGCAAAACCACAGGGATTTTTTCCTGCCCGTGTGGCTGCCTTCCCCATTACAGCTGTATTTGGAAGTACCAGTGACTTGTCCAGTTTGCTCACCAATGAGATTTTTTGGGGATTTGTCAGTGAGGTGAGTGACTCCTGGAGTCACTTTGTGCTCATGAACATCTCACAGGAGCTTCCTCCTCCTCGGGGAGCCTGGCCGGGTCCCAGAGCCTCACAGCTGCTCTGTAAGGGCAAGATGAACAAAAGAGCTAAAGCCCAGGAAAGGCAAAAGTGTAAAGGTGCCTCCAGGCTCAGTGAGAGATTTTCAGGAGCAGAAAAGCCCC